TACACTAATACTCAGATAATGGGTTGCTCCCAAAGCAATGAAGCCTGTGAAGTCGACCGCTATCATTCTGACAAGAAATAAAAGCTTGCGAAAAACGTTTTGAGATCTGTTCCTCCCTCCTTCACTTTTTTCTCGTGGTGAGCCCAAATAAAAGTTTACAGGCCTGGAAGGCTATAGATCCCTTCACAGAATTTACTTGTACTTTTTCATTTTTTTTCATATTCAGAGTAACAATTGTGATAATGAAAATTGAGAATAACATGGTCAGTTGCGGCTTAATAGCATTCGAGAAGAAGAACGTGTGACCGCTGGGACCAAACCTTTATTCGCCTGACTTTTCGAAATCCATCGCGGATATCTCGTTAGAGACATTAGTAGAAACAGTAGCAGAAACGGGCCCACCCACCTAGTGCAGGACACAAAACCTGCTTTTTAATTGGGCTTTACTTCCAAATCCCACATCCAATAAATGACCCTCGGCTGCCCCAAAGCCAAACACAAAGCATCTTATCCGTCAGCGTGTCGAACAAGATGCCGCTAGGAGGTGCTGAAGAGTATGTGCAAATGCGCGAAAACGTTCGATTCAGGTTGAATATTTGGTTCCCAGTGAAAGCTTTCGAATAATTCGGATATACGCCAGCCGTTAAGGCTTAATTCATCACTGTGTGTAAATGGCGTCACATTGGAAGATATCAGTAGGCAGGCATTACCAGGTGTACGCCTCCAGTGAGGTTTCTAGCCACCCACTTGCGAAGAAGCCGAAGTCCTAGGCTTGCAACTTTGCTGTTAATATGGTAATTAAGTAGGCACTTGACAACTACTAACTACCTGTTGGCAGCTTCTGAATATTACACAGTATCTGATGAAGTTCGGCTCAAATTTTCATATCAATTTTCGGACCGGGCCCGAAAAGTTTTGTTCGGGTGGATTTACTCCGAGTTCGCGCACTAATTTCCTTGGGAAGTATACAAGCCAAAATGCGTACTGTTCTGCAAGTTTAAATAGACATTTTTGTCCGCTGAGAGCAATACTCACATACTAAAGATATATAAGTCAATGTCCCTCAAGGAGAGAAGCCACACGAGCCGAGGACAGCTGAATACCACGAGTTTTTAACGCAGTCACGCAAAAAGGGGTCAACTGTCAGTAAAGTCTTTACCGGTTATTAGGAAGAGAAATGGGTGTGCAGTGAGGACAGACACTTACATCGCGGACTTGATGATGGGGAAGAGAGCCCAGTAGCTGAACCCTTGAATGAAGATTGTGCCTCTCGCGCATCTCCTCAAGAGCTAGCCGTTTCGGACCATCACCTCCTACAGGAAAAAGTCAAACAAATATTCGGTTGGTTAACTCGAAGGACGCCATAAGATATCACTTATCATGAAGGTTAGAGTGACTCAGAGGTACCCTGTACGTTGATAAAGTCAAAAATTGAGGATTTGGTAATCTTTTATCAACCTCCCGGACCTTGCGAGTATTTAATGCATGCGTAGAAGGCAATCTCTCAGCCTGGATGATCAGTGTAACCTTGGGCACACTATGCCCCCAGTAGCAATTGGTGCCATCAACGGGAGAGGTTTAATTACTGACTCTGGAGTCAGAAAGGTCTCCCTTTTAAAGTATATCGCGCTCCTGCGTGCTTGTCATTGACAGCCTGTATACCATCACAGAATAGACTTTGGGGTTAGACGTCCTTTTTACCGTCTGGTTTACGTCTCTGCGAGGCTTTCCGAGTGATCTACAGGGTCCCACCAAATTATTCGAAGTCCCTGGGTCAGCGCCTGTTAGCAACAGCAGAAGCGACCGCTATCAGGCTGATGAAGCCCGCGTTGTGTGCACAAAAGAACTTCCCACAAGCCCCAAAGTTGGGGTGGCCCACAGTCACTTAGCGGCATGCAGTCATCTGCGCCCTGTTTGTCTCCCCCTCCCCTAGACTACTCCATCAAACTCTACCCTCACAACCAGCCTTCGCTTATCGACCCCACCCCCATTCCCACGACT